GCGGCTCTGCGGCCCTGGCTGCGGGCGGGGCGATGGTACAGCCACCGAGGCGACGGAAGGCACCCCCCTGCCCAACACTGCCGACGTGCAAGCCAAGGCCGGTCGCCAGCCCGGGGCTTTTGTCTGCCAAGACACACAAAACCGCCCTGTCTTAAGCAGAAGAAATTGCATCATTAATTACATAAACGAGCCCCTTGTGCTTGTGTGGCTGCTCTGGCAGCTGGGGATGCTCCGGCCTGGAGCTGCTTGGGACAACCCCTTGCCATTTGGATCAGTATTTCTGTTTATTGATGTGAAACTCCCCTTTCTTGGTGCAGCAAGCACATAAATACTTGTGTTTCGAGAATTAAAATCCAGGATGAGAAACAGAGCTCACTGCTCCCTGCCTGGCTGCAGGGTGGACGTGACCAGGGCAGACATCTACAGAAGATGCCCCAGCCCCATCCATCTTCTCCCCTTGCAGCCCTCACTTAGGGCCATTTCTCTTTTTTTTTAATCCAAAAAGGCTGTTTCTCAACCAAAAGGAACACCCGTCACCCTCACCTGCAGCTGCTCGAGTCATGAAGCCTTCAATTTTCCCCACACTTAGGCTGGGAAAGCCAGTGGCCCTGGGACACTCCAGCCCCATGCAGAGGGAGACACAGCCTGGAGGACCCCATTGCATGGGCATCCCTGTGGTTGCTTATGCCACCCCACAGGAGTTTGGGGGTAATGGAGTCACCTCTGCTTCATGCCCCACGAAGGACAATGCAGCTCCTGCTGCTTTTTGGGGATGGGGCAGGGATGAATGTCACCTTGGGGCAGCCCAGCCAGGACTCTGCCCTCCTGTGGGTCGCAGGGGGGTGTCCCAAGTGCTCCCCTGCCCACATGTTTGTGTGTGCCCTATAGAAAGTATGTGATGGCCCATAGGGAGCATGTCACCCAATGGAGAGCACCTATAGCCCATAGTGGGCACCACCGCTGCGTGGAGAGCATGTGTAACCCCATGGGGAGCACCCATCGCCCCACAGAGAGCCCCGCCGCCTGGCTATCATCAAACCATCAGGTCCAAGATGCAAAACCCTCCTGGCAGCGTGTGAGCCCTGGGTTTTATTTGGCAGCTGCTGAACTTAAGGGAGGGTTTAGGGAA